CGGTAAACGTTTGAAATTTACAACCTCTAACCAACTGTTGTCACCAACCTCCACTAACGTTTACCGACGTCGGGCCAACAAAGTACTGTGACGTTGGGACAACGTCTAGAATCACATCCTAATATTTACAACCTCGGGCCACTAGCGTTCTGTAATGTTGAGACAACGTCTGTAATCGCATCTAATATTTACCACCTCTGGCCAACGTCGGCCCAGCGGTGGTACCCAACGTTTATTTAAAACGTCTACCGATGTCAGGCTAACAAAGTACCGTGACGTTGCGACAACGTCTGTAATCACATCCTAATATTTATAACCTCTTACCAACGTCGGACCAACAGTTGTAACCAACCACCATTTCAAACGTTTACCGACGTCGGGCCAACAACATACTGTGACGTTGTAACCACGTCTATAATCGCATCTAATATTTACAAACTCTAATTAACGTCGGCCAAACCGTTGTAACCAATCTCCATAATATATATAATTATAGACGTTGTCGCAACGTCAAAGTACCTTGTTGGCCCGACATCGGTAGACGTTTGAAATAGATGTTGGGTACCACCGCTGGGCCGCCGTTTCTTAGAGTTCACGTACTGTGCCGTTGAGACAACGTCGGCAATCACATCTAATATTTACAACCCCTAGCCAACGTCGGGCCAACGGTAGTACCCAACCATCTTTTTAGTAGTTTGCCTACGTCGGGCCAGTAACAAATCGTGACGTTGTACCAACGTCGGTAGTCAGACTGAATATTTACGACGGCTCACCAACGTTGGGACGACATCGGAAAATCGACAAATATATTTATACGTTCGGCCAACGTGAAATTCCAATGTTGGTTTGATGCTGCTACTACATGGTAACCATTGTGAATGATCGTTGCAGGCTGATGAACCCATCCGCTTACAAAGGATTTGTAATCTTCAAGGCCCTTAAAGGCCTTCAAATCCTCCATTGTGTAAGGACTCGGAGAAAAAACAAGGTAATTGACAATATCCGGATAGCTTATGGCTGGCATCAACGCAACATCAACAGATTATTCCATGCAAAAACAGAGTAGGGGTCGACGTCGCCGATCATCTTCAATTTCTCCAAATATCTTTTTTTTCAATGAATTTATGTAGTTAGGTTTCTTCACCATTTTTCATTCTTAATAATATGAGAAAAACGACATTTTTGTATAGGTCTAGGCCTAGTAATAATACTGTTGTAATTACTGTACTACTAACATAAACAGGTACTTTCTCGCGTTGCGCACTGCCATGCGTCGCTTATCTAGGAAATTGTTTGTCTTCCAAGATGGACGCATCTGAATCTATGACGTAAATTTATGACGTCACTCGTCGGTACCGCGCGTTAGGGCGCAAAGAACTAGGACGCAGCAGGGGCAATTAGACAAGAACAATAGCGAACAATAGGTAAATAATAGGATTAGCACGCCTTAATAGTTCGAGATCATTCCATCTAATTTCACTGTTCCCTGGTAAAATGCAGTCACACTTTTAGATGTAAAGATTCCCGTGAGGATCATTTTTACCTAAAAAATATCAGGAATCTAAACATTCTGCCCTCTTATCGAATGGACGTGTCCAGAAATGCTTGACCCATATTCTTGGGAAAGACTGTTTGTGAAAAATATACTAATTTTAGAAGCAAAAGTGCCTAATTAGGACCAATCATGTCGAGTTTTATATTACAAGTAGGGTATTTAATATAATATATTATTCCGGCTGAACCTTGTTGACATCTCATCTGGTTTATGTCTGACGCTTGATGGGAGGTGACCTTAAATCCACACAAATCATGCCCATTTCCTATTCTACAAGGAACAGAATGCATTTTTTTTAGTTCAAAAGTGCGTATTCCAAACACTTGAGAAGGTGATTGAATTTAGTATCATTGAAAAGTAGATAATATTTCAAATTCCGTGCGAACCCATCAGAAAGGATTAGACAAAAGTGCCCAAATTTAGCCCACTGTGTGCGATATTCTAGGCTCTGTTCCTGTATTTTTAATATGTGTTTTATTGTAAAATAGTCATAGTCCATTGTTTTCCAATAAAAAATGACATCTGTATACTATAACGACCCGA